GTTCTTCCATGATCAATTACCGAACTTATCAAGAATAATCTTGTGGCATTTACAAATTAAGGGAGATTTCATAAATTGGGTAATCACGAGGTCAAGATTTTCATGTAATTGTCTTAGTTTTTGGTTTGATAATTTATTGTGTCGAACTTACAATTTCGGACTTCAATTTCTTCAATCGTGTAATCAAGAGGTTCTTCACAGCGTCGTTCTTGTTGGGTTGCTTGGTTCGCTATTTTGGGGTCAGATCCATAAACCTTGGTTATATTGGTTTTCTTGGGATCCGGATCAATATTCTGTGGGTTCTGTAGTGTTCGTTATTATGCGGGTTCACATCAATATTGTAGATCCAAGCCATGAAAATTTTCTTACAATTAGTTGATAACCCATCTATATCATCCATGGAGCTTGCGTGTACTTTTATTGTCTACCTAATCAATTGAATATTGATTAATACGTGATTGTTTGAACACTATAGAAATGGTCGTTTAATCAAAAACAAAATGTTCCAAATATTCTTGCTCTCATTGGACCATTTATATCTTTATGCATCACGATCCTGATTCATCGATTTTTCAGTTCAAGAAATCAAGAAAAGAAGATTTAATTGACCCTTTCTTAAATTCGATAAATATCAATTTATTATATATTTCATTATAATTCTATGATTCAGGGTATTCTAATAAAATAAAAGTATTTGAATACTTTTTAGGGCAAATATAATTCCCATTTCGTAAAATAAAATAATGTGTGATGATAAAGAATTTATAATTGAAAAATATATGAAATTATTCTGAAAACGATATGGGGGCATTGGCGCATATGTTTAAGGATCAATGCCAACCCCATAAAGCCATTAGCCGTTACAATTTTTATTTTGACAATTGTTACAAACCCCAAATTAGGTGGTTGCAACATTATTTTTTAGGCAGCATTGTCCCTAAACTATAGGTTTAGGTGGAAAATTAATCCTTATAGGACGTTTACTAATTCGGTTGTTACATATGCATTCAAACATCGAATGTCAACCTTGTGAAGGGTATAATAGTTTCCTTCAATTTGTTAACACATACTTCACCCTAGCATATGCCTATTTTTCTTCATTTTCGGAATTCGGACAACGCAAATGGGAAGCAATTATGATGGAGGTGAATACTTCTTAGACATATATATTTCTTTCCGTGTTAAAGGATAAATTCACCTCGAATAAAGATAAATATTAAAATCAACATATAAAAATTTGTACTACTCTTAAAAATGTGCAGGTCTACCCGACAATTATACCCTTCAACATTGACAAGTTATATTTACTATCATAGATAATAGTCAAAACGAACAAATTTTAACTGAAATCTATATGTTAGATTTCAGTTAGAAACAAAAAAAATTGTCACTTGGAACATTTTTCCTTCAAGTTTTGTCTTAATGCATTTATCATTATTAACAATTCTTGTATTTGTATTGATAGAATTAAAAAAAAAAAAAAAGATTTATCGTCTTTTACCCTACAAAAAATCATATCTTATGAAGTTATTTAGATTTACATAGATAGAGTTCAATAGGAATTAGAAAAAACAATAAATTACAATTGATTATTAACTTAGATTTTTTTTTCCCAATTTCAAAAGAATAAACAGATAAAATAAACGAGTTTATTTAATACAAAGAATGTACGTACTTGATAGGTAACCATATTTACCTTTTTAATTACATTCATTAGTTTGATTTTTTGTATAAAATCTGTAGAGACGGGACACTGCTTCATAATTATGATCAAATATCGAAGGATGAAAAGTATAGATAATATCTTAGGGATGGCGTGTGGAACAAAAAAAAATGTTCGTAACAAAAAAAAATAAAATCGAAATATATAATAAAAAAATTGATTCCCATTTTTATCAAAATACATTTTTCTTTTTTCTTTTTCAACCACTCATTATTCAATAAAATAATATTACACGTAAATTGAAAATTTTTCCTTATTTTTTAACCACACATTTTAAAAAAAATCATTATTCTAAATATATTTTTAACCAAAAATGGGATTCAAACAAGGGCTAAGTTAGTTCATGAAATCTAGACCTTGAAATACAAGTATTAATATTTCAAGTAATCAATAAACTTCACAAGATACGCAATTTACTAATCGATAACACTTTTATTCTTTGATATTTTAATCATCGTCAAGGATGACAACGAGAAAGGTATGGGGCAAGTTGACCATTCTCGTCCCTCGTCGCGTCAAGTATTTTTGTTATCTTGTCCCTCCCCTATATCCGATTAAAACGAGACGGGGTTGGTTCGGGGCGAAATGGTAGCGGGGCAGATTTCCTATCCCATTTGTTTATTTATTTTATATATTTAATTAGCGAATATTAATACTTTTTTCTTTTTTTTTTTGACTTTGTTAAAAACAATTCAAGTTCTCTTTAAAAATGATAATAAATATTTTTTTTGGATAAAAAACTTAAATTTGAAATTAACTTTCAATGGGATAGATAGTGGGATGGGGATCATGTTTTTCGTATCGACCATGTTCCTGCTTCAGGGCAATGTGTCGATGACCCTCGCCCACCTTGTTCCGTTTATCAGATTAGGCGGGTGATCCCCACCTCATTCAAGGCGGAACCTCATGATGGTTAAGTTGAATGAATTTTTTTGCCATCACTAATCAATATTGCTTGGCTATAAATGTCCCAGCTCGATTTGTCCACAAATTTGATAAAAATTTAAGTTAAAGATGATAATACATTTTCATCATAAATTTTATTGAATCCACAATTTTTATCAATATTGTAATTATACATTTCATTAGCTTTTATTAAAATCTATTAAAAATTAAAATTTTATCAAAACTAAATAGGGCAAAGTAGAATCACGTGATAATCTAACGTCTTTTTAGGATTCCAAGATAACGTTTTTAATCTACTTTTAATGTACCAAACAAAAGTCGCATCCAAGGGACCACGACTTTTTGAATGGCACCGGCACGCGGTAGGCTTTCTCCAACTGTACGGTGCACGCTTTATTGCGGTCCTTCAAAGGGTGGCCTCACAAGCCATAGGTGGTTGTATCTCGTCCCAGCTAATAGACCCTATTAAGGGAGCTACCATCTATTATCTCTAGATTTTAACTTATTTTATGTTTTTTTTTAATCAAATATGTTTATACTTTTCTACAAGTAATTTAGTTCAAAAAATTACTTTTTAAATAATATGCAGTATAACACTTTTACTTTTTATCAGAGTACGAAAAGAACGATCTCAACATGCCCAAAAAAAAAAAAAAAAATTAATATAAAAATTAATACATTCGAAATCATTAAAGTAAGGACTCATTTGGCATAACTTTTAAAAAGCCAAAATTTGTTTCTAAGACTGAGAAGGTACTTTTAAACATATTTAAATAATTTTTTAGAAATACTTTCTGCGACTATAAAAACTTCTAAATAAAGTTGTCTTGATTAATGTACATTTTTTAGAAAACTTTTCTACAAGAAATTGAATTCCTGCTAAATTATTCTTAATGTAACATTTTAAAAGATCTCTTCTACAAGAAATAAAAGAAAAGGCAAAAATCCTGTGAAACGTACATTAAGTTAATCCAAAATCTAATGGTTACTTATATCCTATATGCACAAGAGAGGGGAATGTTGTATGACGAGTTTTAGATTTGCCATATGATTCTTAATTTTTTACATACATTACAAAGTCCTGCATCATGAAAATTGTTGAGTGAAGAAGAGTTTATTTTAATCAATATAATTGAATCTAAGACATAGAGCAAACAAATAAATATTCAAGTTTGAATAAACAAAATTAAGTTGAACACCATCCAATAGTCACAAATTTCCATTTATCGTGTCCATGTACATTCTTATACTTTCTCTTCTTTTCATTACTTTTATTTTAAGATATGTTAAAAGTAAAAGGATAACAAATCAGTATCGACGGTAAGAAATAGTATCTTTTTAAAAATGTAAAATGTGGTCACTTCGTATTAATACTTGAAATTCACACTACATGATACCCACAATTATGTGTCTTTTACCAAAAGAAGCAACTTTACTTCAAAAAGGAAAACGATTCCTAACAAGGCACTAGTGAAAAATTTCAAAATGGAAAAATAAAGTTACTTTTTATTTTTTTAAAGATGATATTCGATATTCCATCTTGTGTTTTATTGCCAATACAAGCATTTATTCAATTGTATAAGATGAAGCCAATGGGTAAGACTTGTCAATATCTCCATTTTTTACTTTTACTTTTTCTAATCTTATTTTAGTGATAACAATTATTTTTTTATAGTTGTGTTACACGCACATTACAATTTACAGATGAGTTTACCAACACATGATGTAAAGAGATTTGATTGAATCAAAATCTCATAAAAAGAATTCTCATCACTTTCTTTTTGACCCCTCCATTAATTTATAAAATATTATCTAAACTATGATGTACAACAAATATTTTTCTTATTTTTATAGTACGATGGATTTAACATAACTATTGCATCTCATTATTCCATTTCATTTCATTTTGTTTAGTTTAAATATAACTATAATAATAACGTGTTTTATAAAATAGATTTTACTTGATAACCCTCTTTTTTGACTCTTCGTTAAACAAGCTTTTTATAGAGACTGTTTGGGAGTGATTTTGAGAATTAATTTTTTGATCGTTAGGAGAAAAGTGGGGTCCATCTGTGAGAGAAGAAGTCAAATATGACGACTGAAATAGTAAAATAACGGTCAAAAAATCAATTTTTTGGGTGAAAAAATCGGGCTCAAATAGCCCCATAGACTCATTGACAATGCTTTGAAAAGTCAAAAGTTATTTATAAGATTACAAAATTGCTTTTGAATATATTTAAATAATTTTTTGAAATTACTTCATTTGATTAGGATAAGATTATGGGGAAAATTGATCTAAGATGATTTTTTAAAAAAACTCTTCTGTAAAAAGTAGGAATAAAAATAAAAACTTCGCGAAATGGACCCTACATAAATCTTATCAACATAACTTTTATATTCTGGTCAAGTTTAATATGATCGACGGTACCAAACATGTCCTCGACAAATACAGCTATGGTTAATCATTTGGTTTGCTTACACTTTCTAAAATCTTCTAGCCTCTAGACTTAAGAGAGGGTTACATTTGATGTTATACAAAAGATAAGGGACCAAAATGAAAAACCCAAAAATGCTTTCCATTTGCTTTCCTTTTCTTTTCCTCTTTATACCCCTAAAGTTTTCCTATTGTTTCATTTTACTCCAAATGCTACATAAAAAATTCAGACTGCAAAATTGTATAGTGATTAGCAGTCTCATCTTCAAGCTCCCACAGTCCATCGGAAAAGGCAAAGGGAGGAGGCGGATTTTTGCCGGAAGTTATCCCTTCATCCACTCTGTTAGGGATCCCAAGCTCATCATCAGACGCCTCAAGGAGGTGTTTCATGACTCTAACCCCATCGTCTTCTTCTTCTTCATATTTCTTTACGCCACCGCTACCACCTCCTGCAGCTAGGTCCTGTTGATAATCGAATTCTAACTCAGCTTCTTCCTCCGTGGTGGCAGGAAGATAGTCAAAGTCGAAGGTGGCGGCGGTGGAAGTGGTGGTGGAAGTGGTACTTGAACATGAGAGTTCTTGTTGAAGGGTTGTCAGAATTGCTGATAAATCTTGACTTGGGTAATATTCTTGTTCATCATCAAGAATGGAGAGTATGTTATTGTACGAGTTTTCACGCTTACTAAACTCGACTCGGCTAGCTTCTGCTTCTTCTTCTTCTTCACGGGATTCTTCTCTTTGGCGTTTTTGTTGGGTTCCCGCCATTGTTAACACAGAAAGGTTATACAAAAAACAGAAGAGAAAGAGAGAGAGGGAGGAGGGCTGAGGAGAGAGAACCGAATTGGAAAGGTTTATATAGAGGGAGAGGGACGATTGCAATTCCGGTCCAATTGAATAAAGAGTGAAAATAAGAATATTTAATACATTCAATTTTTTCTTTTTTGTATGTGTGTGTGAGAGAGAGATGCTTGACAAGATAAATAGGGTTACCTTTATTTCATTTTCTACTTTTTTGGACACGATCCCTTCCAAATAACTTGACATGATTCTTCGCAAAATCATGTTTAGTTCTTGTATCGTTAAGTTAAAAAGGTTGATAAAAATTTAAGTCATATATTTTATGAGATTCATAATTTTTATCAACTCTTTAATTACATATTTCATTATTAAAATCTACAAAAAATAATTTTTAGCATAACCAAACAGGAGCACAATTATAATAACTCACAAATATTTCAAGTGTTTGTATTGTGTAATTTGATCTAATTTAACATATTAAGATATGCCATAAAACTTTGTGAATTTCTTAAATCGAGATTATGTTTATTTAATTTTACATTAAATTTCGTGTTGAATTAAGTTATAAAATTTTTTCATAATTAAAACGAAGTATCCATGTAAATATGTTTAGGTCTGTGCTTCGAAATTTGGATTGTACTTTCTTGTATTTTGTCAAGTAATTTCCACGCTATAAAAGGTGCATCATGTTAATTAGGTGCCTCAAAATTTGGTCAAAGATTAAAAAATTGCGTGTTGTCTTGATTTAGGAAAGAATCATTAGAGCCAGGTGAAAAAAAGGAAAGGAATCAATTGCATCCAAAATTAAGGAAATAATATTTGGGCACCAGATTTCTTTCTTTTACGTGGTTTTTCTTAATTTCCATATTTTAGCCTAGTTTTAGGGTTTGAGTCGTGTACTATAAATATGTGACTCATCTTTCAATTTAGTTTAAGCCAAATTGTCTGTCGTTGTAATTTTTTCCATATTGTCAGGTTTAATAAAATTTATCGTTCCTTTGCTTAGTTTCTCTTTTTCTACTTTAATTTAATCTTTTTTTCGTGGTACGATCTTGAATATTTCATTATTGTCATTAAATCTCAATCTTGCATCACCTTTGGGATCAACACATCAATCGGGTCAACATGCCATATTTTAAAGTTGGTGGCAAAAGCAAGAAAAAATAGACCAATTATTTTCAATTCATTACTTAAGTAATAAGTTAGTCCAAATGCATTTTTTAAGTTGAGGATAAAATTAATACTTGGGGACGGGTGATGCAATTTTTCAAAAAATATTTAAAGGGAGATGTCACAATTCGCACGACAATAATGCTATTTATACATTCAGGAGTTAACACTCATCTCACGAGGGTGGGATCCATGATTATTTTATTACTCCCAGGCTTCACCTCCATATGAGGAGGTGTTATTTTGGATGTCAACTCAAATGTATATATTGCACGATTATTCACACGAATGTGGAGTTATGAAGGATTAGGTTTTTCCGACAATATCATTCATCATAAATTTCAGGGAAAATGTTTAACATACAAGGTCACTTTCACCTTTTAATATGTGAATATGATTGGGGATATTTTGGATGGTCACGATTGATTTGATTGGAGACTAAGTCATATAATTCAAATTTACTTATTATGTATCTAGAATCACAAGATACATACAAATAATAATGAGAGGCCAGAAATAAATTTTGTTGATATTTATATTCAACACATCAAATATGATGACTTATCAACGAAAACACGATAACTTTCTTAGATGTGATCATTTGTTTAGTGCATCTAATGCTGTCGACATAACACCATTCAACTAATATTTAAGAAAGTATTTTTGTTCAAATTAAAAAAAATCCAATTTTTTTGTGGACTTGGTATGAAAATGCCAACTTTCGCATTTACCTAACGTCAGATAATCATGAATTTCACTGTAAATACACGTTTCAAACATTCAAAAATCTTCACTCCCAAAACATTATGGCACTCAATAATAATAATAATAATAATAATAATAATAATAATAATTTCATTGATTGGTATCTAAAAGAAACTGAGCCATTGCCAAGGTCAATTATTCACTAGAAATCAAGATTCAATCATGTTACATAACCAGAGTTAGTGATAGAATTTCATTTCTAGGCACAATGAAAATTGGAAAAAAAAAATAATATAAAAACACTCAATCATGAGTTACCACATCGGTCTGTTTTTTCCCTTGTTTGTTCAGCATTATTCATCAAGATTAGACTGCAACGTTTGTCAAATGAATTTTAAATAAACTAAACAATACTTGGAATTAAATGTGACGGGTCATGTCCCTTGCATTCCAAATGTTCCAGTGCATTCTATTCAAGTAAAATAATATAGCATTTTCACTCGACTTTCCCGGCACTTCACAATTATTTAGAAAATTAATTTATTAATAATAATAAAAAATCCACTTGCTCATTTTTCTATTGAAATTAATTAATGTATGATATTTGACTAGATGGAAAATACCTTCAATGAACAATTAAACAATTATTTATTTATTAAAAGTTTGATATATACGCTGCATGTTTCCAACAAATATTTCCCATTATTAATTATTTTTCATTTCAAAGAAATCAGTCTAACTAAAATGATCCCAAAATTAATCAGATCCAGTTGCTTGCTTACCGACGTAGCTTATTATTAATTAAGTAATAAAATATTAATTAATTAAGGAAAGATTTGGAGATCTAGTTTAATATTTAATATATTTAATGAACGTCTGATTTGTACTTTGCTTTGATTGTAGAGAAAATTGCAACAGTGTTCCCTAATCTTTTCATTTTTTGTAAATTTTATCCTAACGTTCACTTTATGTCGGCGGAGGTTCTTAACCTTTTATAAATATGCACTTGAGGTTCATATTTATAGAAACCGTTCAAAATATTTTCAGTTGACTGAAAAAATTAAAGAATTAATATCCAATAAAATCGTCGCGGTAACAAATAATTCAAGAAATTTTCCTGATCAAATGATGGCGTTTTAGACGGTTTCTGTCCAGATGGACCTTAGGTGTATATTTATGAAAGGTTAGAGACCTTTGTTGGTACAAAATAAAAATTAGGGTAAACTCTGCAAAAAATGAAAAATATTAAGGACCGCTGCTATAATTTTCCCTTGATTGTATTGACAATTTTTAATCTACCACTGTGCCGTTTTAGTGGGTTTGTTCTGTCATAATTAAATCAAAATGTCATGATCGGTTTTTAGTTAAAACTTAATCGAATATTTAACAATATTTTTTTACAATATGATTGAGAAAATTCATTTTAATAATATTAAATACTTGAAAATTATAATTGATTCAATTATTAATTGAAAAATAAGATGCTTTCGTGGGTTTGTCTTGTTCGAGATGGTTCATACCTAAACTTTCATTTTGTATGCACACCAATGATCCATGTTCAAACCTTCTCTTAATCCCAATTATAAGTCCAAATACATAAGTTTGTGTTCTAACATAATTTAAGCAAATCAATTTATTATATGGTAAGACTAGAGATAAAGTTAAAATAATAAAGAAGATCAAAAATTAGCAAGGTATTTGGTGATTGTGATCAATGACCTAGTTGTCACGAGACATCATCACACATCGAATAAAAATAAAAAATATAAATCAATTTATAATAGTTTGGATTACTTCTTTTAACAAAGTTGACATTTTAAGATGAAATTTCAAATCTTTACATGGTATCAGAGTTGCCTTTTTTGGGACATGTTGAGGGATATAATCAAAATCGAATAAAGATAAAAATATAGACCAATTTATAAGAGTTTGAGCTACTTCTCTTAATAATATTGGCCTTTTAAAGTAGAACCCCAAATTTTTACACGACTTTTATTACCTTCTCTAGTAGAAATAACGATAGACCAAAGAATATGAAAAAACAAAAAAATGAAGTCTACGCTGCTCTAATTTATTAATAATAAATTTAATTTGTTAAGATTTTTGATAATTTCAAGCTTGTTGGATCTCTATGCTACTTAATGACTTCCCATAGATGCCACACTTTAATAATTGTATATGATCATTATTGTTATGTGACAGTTGACCTAACAATATTTTACTTTCATAATTAACAAAAATTCATAATTTTTGTCAAATATATTTACGATCATTTTTTAATTAAAATAATGGATATATTTGGCTGTGTTTCTTCTTTTACTTTTGCATCTTATGGAATAGTTTTTTGAGAAATAACATTTATTACCATTTGAAACTAATTTTTTAAAGAACTTTTAAAGAAAATTAAATTGAACCAACTTTATCTAGCGCGTTTTTCCTTTCGAATAAAATCTAAAATTTTGAAAATAAGAAACTAAGGTACAAGTATGGACCACGCAACAATGAGATATGAGAATAGGGCGTGCCATGCAAGTGGATGGTGTACCTAATTTTTTGCATTGAGTAGTGCTGGAATGAATCATGCAATTTTTGGACCAGAAAGTGACAACTTGCTAGAACAAGTACCATATTGTCCTTAATTGGCAACATTATATAAGATTAGATTCACAATATGTTAAGACAAATTGATATCGAATTATCAACAGCTTAGCTTACGGACCAGTTTTTGGCTGTGGTTGGTTCTACACTTACTTTTGGGTTTAATATGTTAGTCTTGTGATTTAGGCTTACTTGGCTAGTTTGTTAAATGCAAGACGTATTATTTTCTTATCTTAGTAATGTAATTATGTAAAGAGACGGACTGAAGACGGTACGAGTTTAAAGTACTAGTAATGTACAAATTCAGAATCAAATGAGTTTTGAAGTGGTATTAGTGTAACTTGTGATATTTAAATCAAGAAGAATCTTGAATGAGATTAGGCAGTCGAGAATTTAATGTACGAGCATGTTTGAAATGAGGGTGTGCTTGACGCACTGGGCTTGTGATGGAATTGTGAACTTAATTCTGGGAAATAATGTAGGGTGAATTATATTTGTACTATCAATTATAACTTTTGGATAAAATGGTGGCAATACTTGATACATAATGTCGAGCTGATGACATAATGCAACCTACC